AAGACTAGTTTGGTTATATACTCTTGAGTAAATTTTGAAATAAACGATAAAATGATAAGTTGAACTAAAAAGGTCAGCTAAGATAAGAATCCTCAATAGAAATTAACTAAATTAACTAAATTTTAAAGTGACACATGAATTAAAAGTTCACATTTAAATAAGGAATATTAATAGAAACTGAAATAAAGATTAAAGTGACACGTGAAATAGAGGTTCCCATTTAAGTATGGAATGTAAGATAAAACTGTAATAGTAGTTAAGACAAAAACATAGAAATTTCTATGTTTCTATGTTTTATTTCTATGTTTTTGGTTAAGATTTATAAATGCAACCAACTATGAAATTGTACATTGAAGAATATACGTGTTGATTTTTTCGATATTGGAAATAAAACAGTGTTTGAGTTTTCCCATTGAGAACGTAAGATTTTTCCTGATACTTTGGACACAGTTTGGAATACAACAATATTGGATACAATATATATTTGATATACAACATTTTGAATATCGGATATATATATACAACACTATTATTATTATTAACTTACTTTTAGTATTACTTTTACAAAATAAGTTATTAAAAATGGTTGATAAAATGTTTATAACATAAAAATTCATCAAATATTCAGCGCACAAGAATTTGACTCCTTTTTTAATGAAAATTCCGGGGTAATTTTTTTTTAAATTTGGTTTAAAATTGGGTTTTCATTTATAAATTCAAAACGAAAGCGAATTTTTTCTCTTTATAGCGTTCATTGCTAAAAACTTTCTCAAGAGTACAGTGTTCATCAAATTGAGAGCTCCTATTCACCTACAGAAGGTGAAGTTGAAAATAATCGTTATGATTTGAGATGTTTACGCAATTTCTAAAGTCTGTAATATGCATGAGAATTGTTTGTCAATCTTTTTTGTCATTGTTGGCTATTAAGCGCGTATGACACATCAAGAATTGTTGTCAAAAAACGTTGTCGTCGCTTGCTATTACACATCAAACTAGTCAAAATTATTTTAAACACATATGTATTTTATTTAATATTCAAAATCTTGTTAATGTTATGTTTTGGTAATTAAGAAATTTTCCATAGATAGATAATACAAATAATATTTAAAATAGAAGAATCTCTACCCGTCATTTTTTCTTTCAGAGTTGTAAAAAAACAACATTAAGTCTGGTTGACAAAAGTTGGCATCACTTTTAAAATATATTAAATGCTTTCTTCTAACATATGTTTGTTGTTGCGTTGTGCAAAATATGAAATATAAAAATTATACACCAAAAATTAATTAATTTAAATGAAAGAAAACGAAACGAATATTAAAGGGCAATAGTTAATATTTTTATCTTATATATTTAAATTAATTTATTTATTTATGTATTTGAATTTATTAGTTAATGAAATATTCATATGATTTTAATGATAACTGGCATTTTGCAACATATTTCCAGTAAACATTTACAATAGACTGATTTTTGATTTTGGCTGCACTAAAAATTAAGATATAAAATTTTTGCCAGTAAAACCTAACTCTGAAGATTTTAAGAGCATTAGGCCTTTTCTTTTGTAAGCATATCGCAAAAGAACAAATAAAATAAACACTACTTTCGATGGCAACTCTGTACAAAACGGAAATTTTGTTAGGCTTACATATGCAAAACACGTAATAAAATCTAGAAATGAATAGTAATTCTGTGCAATTATTGGCAAGAACATTTTTATTGTTAATGTATTTGTTACGAACAATGATAACACGAAGTTCGAAGAATTAACGAAATCATGCGTTGACAGTGAACTGAAAATTTCATATGTACTCCCAAAAATCGTTCACAATAAACAAGTTTTTAGTCTTGGCAACCATGCGATTTGAGCTGCTTATTAGTTAAGCGGTTTCAAAAAGGTTGGACTTAATAAGCGATCAGTGTTGTTGTTTCATATGTTATTTTTAAAATAAGCGATTGTTCTTTTGTGATTTGTTTCACAAAGAAAAAATTATGGCTATTATTTATTGTTTGGTTATTAATATATTTGTATTAGTCCAAGATTATTAATATTTTAAATCTTTTTAATAACATATTTTGGTAATTGAGAAATTTTACCTAGATAGACAATACAAATAACATTTAAAATAGAAGATATAATTCATTGATAGTTGCAAAGCATCGTCTGCTAACTATAAATCATGCGAGTTATATATGCACTTTGCCTCTTTATACTTATGTTAATAGCTTTAGGTAAGAGAAACGATTATAGCTTTTACACTTTCAACGCTTTAGTCATAACTCTTGTCATACGTTAACCTATAGTTTATAATAACATTAAAAGTTAGTCTTTAGATTCAACTCAACTTTCTGAGATTTCTTCAACAATCGGTTTAGTAATTGTTTCATGTTGCTTTTTCTTTATATCTATATCAACAGAAAGATTTATTTTAAACATCGGTTTCGGTATTTATGAAGCGATTCTCGAAAAATATCACATCTCCTGCTATGAACACAGATCTTAATGTATTGTTGAGCAGCTTATAATTTTTTCCATCTGAATAGCAGACATTTATTGGTTTTTTACCTTTCTATTTAAACTTTAAATATCCACAACCCGTGTTTAATGTCACAACATAATGCTGTACCCATGGCTTCAGAAACCACGATTACGTATATATGTTGCTATACTAACAGCTTGCGACCACAATGATTGTGTTGCTTTAGATTCGGTTATTGCACACTTCCACATTTCATGAAGAGTTCTATTAGCTCTCTCAGTTGTTCCGTTTTGTTGTGGTTGAGAATCTAGAGGAAATTCTCAAAATCTTTATTTATGAACTCCCAACCACTACCGAGGGGTTATAAATTAATTTCTTTCCGATTTGATTTTCCTTAATAGCTATAATCTTCTAAAATTTAAATACCGCAACTGATGTTTTGGGGTAAAATATATGTTGTGGTGTACCAAGAAAATTCATTGATTCATACAATACAGTATTTGAAGGTACCGATTGAGACTGTCTTCATTGGTTTGCTAAAAAATTTACAGATTTGAAGATCAAAGGTTTTTCATTTTAAACACGAAAATGTATGAGTTCTTTAAATACTTAGATTTTTTGGCTAGATAGGTATTTTTGGAATTCCAAATGTGACGCAGTTCAGATGGGTTCATACACAACTTCATGGACGTCACTGTCTTTTTATCCGTTACCTTTCATTCCTATTTATTTTTTAGAAAGTCTGTGAGTTTGAATGTCTTCTATCACAGCCATTAGCTTCAATGCTATCAGTAGTCTATGTTGAGTTTTTCAATTGATGACGAAAATGCATGTTATGCAGAGTATCACAGAAATTGTAATAACTTCCTCCCAAAAGACACAAATGCTGACATTTATTACTGAAAAACACTGCTCTCAATGTGACGTGGGACAGATGGCGTCATCTCTCATGAAGAAATTTGAACCGACATTTTTTCTTTTATACTTAATTTTATATTTTGCATTGAAAGCAACAACAATTTTGATAATGACGAGTCTATAACTTTCTGAACAATATTTCAACTCATTTTTATAGTCGACTGCCTGAATTCAAAATCAAATTAGTATTAGTATTAGTATTAGTATTAGTATTAGTATTAGTATTAGTATTAGTATTAGTATTAGTATTAGTATTAGTATTAGTATTAGTATTAGTATTAGTATTAGTATTAGTATTAGTATTAGTATTAAGTATTAGTATTAGTATTAGTATTAGTGTTAGTATTAGTATTAGTATTAGTATTAGTATTAGTATTAGTATTAGTATTAGTATTAGTATTAGTATTAGTATTAGTTTTAGTATTGGGGCTATATATGTCTTACTTTTAATTTTAATTTGCTTTAAAAATATGGAAGTATTGCGTATGTGTTCTAAAGAGATAAGCTCTATATTTATATTTTGATTTTAAAAAAAAATTGGTTTTTTAAATTAGTGCTATTTTTCAAAGTGTTCTTATGTGAACATAAAACAATATGAAGAAAATACAAATTTTTGATTAATTTCAAATATTTAATAGCATGAAATCCTAGAGATATTTTTTTATATATTTTTAAAAATACCAATATTTGTTATTATTGTAGTTTTAGAACACTACTTTCTGCACAAATTATGGCAACGTTCTTTTTGTGTTATAGCAGATAAACAGATAAACAGTGTCGAACAAAGAGTACAGCACTTAAGAGTGCTGTAAGAGAGATTGTTATACCCACCTTTGAGAAGAGAATGTTTGTTAAGATGGACAAGGGTAGGTTTGCCATTCGGTTGTATTATCCGGTGCTCACCAGTAGTGCTCTGTTATTTTGTTTTCTTGAATTTCACGAGGGATGCGAAATACGCCGAACAGTCTAGCGCAAACAGTAGCTTTAGTCAATGGCAAATCCAGCACGAGACAGTGCGACATGTCACGCATTAGCCCAGCGCACCACATAAAATCGAGAACTAGATACAACGGATACAAATGCGTTCGTTTTACAACTACAACAACACCTTCAAGTGTCTCGTTTCGAACATCTTTTGAATTAATAAGCGGCGAGTCGAAAAGCTTCACTCGCATGCGACTGAATTGTTGAGGACCATGGGTACACAAATGCTGCAGATATCCTTGCGCTCAGGCAGTTGGTCTTTAAATCTGTTTATGTCGACACGTGCTAACAGAAGGCTCGGAAGATTGAAATTTTGAGTTTGTGACGAAACGCTAGCCAAACGACAAATCCTTAAGAAAAAGGCATTTAATTTTTTTTGCTAATATGCATTTAAATGGTTTTAAATAATTGCAGATAACTGAAATAAATAATAAATTGATTATCGTGTAAATTAAATTAATTGAAGTTACAGTGATAAAAGGTAGTGGTGTTAACAGCTATTAAGAAAAAGGAATAGAAGGATCCTTTCGCGTTCCACAGTGCGTAGCTTCTATCGTTTTGTGGTTTATTGCGAGTTCGCTTTGTCACCGTTACGGTAGTCTTCTGATTTGTTTGTGTTTCTTCACTGTTGAATAGAATTGTTGGCAATTAAGTGTTAATCACGTTACTGGTGTAATTATACACTCGGCAGTCAACTCAAGTCGTCACGCCGTCACGCCGTCAAGTCGTCAAGTCGTCAAGTCGGGCAGAGGAGCTGATTAAAAGTGCACATACAACGGCGGTATATGTAGCAGAAGTCGCGCAAAAATCAAATTCGAACGAGGCGGGCGGTGAATTAGTGTGTGAGTCAACACGTTAATACCGCAAATAACGAAATAACGAAATAACGAAATAAGTTGAGGCACAGATAACAATGTGAAAACAAATAAAACGCACACCCACAGGATTCACGCAAATTGATAAAGTTTACATCCTGTTGCTTTGGTACTGCTGTGCCAGTGCCAAGAAGTTGGTGTGAATGTGTTCAAGTGTTGCGATATAATTAAAACATGAGCACTCACATATTCTTATCCACAGGACTGTCAATACAAATGCGTGTGGATTTTAACATACACAAATAGTAAGTCCATGAGAATCTCTATGTATCCTTAAGTTTTATTCTGCCAAAGCCATACTCAAATGATACGTGTAACAAGTGACTGGGTGTGTTCATTTTCTCCAAATTCGCATTTCGGTTAATACAAAATTCTTTTTCGGTTGGGTGTTTTTAATGCTAAGATAAGGATTTTATATTGCTCCTTTTCTAATATCTTTCTTTAAACGTAATAATAACCTCATATGAAAATGGGGCAAAAGGAATTGTTGCCTGATTTCATAGTAAAGTAGCTAATGGGATGGAAATTTCTCATCTTTCAATATAATGGAAGTTACTTTAGACTAACTAACTAACTAAATAAACTCAGCCAACTAAATAAACAAACTAAACAGACAAATAAATATTGCATTAACTTACATTTTTTGTAAATCGAAAATAATGTTAAATATTTTCATTTAATATTTAATGAAGCACTTTTCTTTTACGAAATAAAAACATTTTCAATTAACAAAAAATCAGTTATAAATTGTATTTTCCGCGAAGTCAACTACTTCTTAAAAAACGTTTACGTTATACATATATATGTATGCTATATTGATATCACATTCTACTATAGGCCTTTATTTTAATATTCGTCTTGTTCATCATTATTACAATCCAGTATACACATTACAGTGGTACGCCTTGATTTAATTTTTTTCTGAAAATTTTTTCTCCATAATTTTCTTTATTCCAAGGTACTAGAAAATAGAATTATCAATTTGCTCAAAAAGAATATCACGAAAAGACTTGTAGTTTTTCTAAATAATTAAAATATAGATTAGCAGTTACTTTTGATTTTATGAATTCGCCAGTCTTCATTTTCTATAACTTGTCCCATTCTGTAACTTCTGTAATTCTGTAATTTATATATTCAAGGCTGAACTGAACTTTATATAAAATCTAACATAACGTGTTAACAGATTGAAAGGAAATTAAGCTATAAATTGCCGTTCATGTGAAACTTATGGGTTAATATGAAGTTGTCACCAGTGATTGAATAATTCTTTAGTCTTTAGTAAAATTAAAGCCAGATTGTTCTCACATAAATGCAATATTGGTTAAATCGGAGCCATTTTACATATTAAACGTACATATATCTTTGCCGATGTGTTTATTTTAAGCTTACTTCAGCAAAAATTGATTATCTGGTACTTTTGCCAACCTTATTACTTCAACAAATTTACAATTTAATCAATTTATTTCCGAATAAGGCTTAGCTTGAGTATTTGTTAAAGTAATATAATGGTTATTAAGAGCCGAATTTGAAGAAGATGAAGAATATAGCTATTTTTTTGTAATCATATTTACCCACTAATTTTTAGCACAGAGGCCATTGGTATGTGACTCGTACCATTAAGAACAGGGGAAGATATCACTCTTATATGCATAGGAATGGGCCTCCGCAAAAATCACGCTTCCGAACCCGGTGTGTATTTACTATTCGTCACTTGCGCTCATGCGGTCACTCAGCCAAAAAAATGTATTTAAACTGCCACAATTTTTATTAAAATAAAAAGAAAACGTTCACAAGAATGACACATTATTCTTTGGAATTCTTTATGGAAGTCCTTAGAGGTGTTACTCGTATTCGGAATTCGTGGCGTGAGGGCATTTATTACATTCGTTTGGTCTTTTTGTTTTTGTTTCCCTTATTTTTGTTTTCGTTTACGAGTGTTAGCTTTTGTCACTTCTTCACTTGCGGTTTCATTTAAGCACTGCAATTAAATTAAAACAGAGATTAATGGGAAGGTCTTCGAGTGCGCTTAGTTCGAGTTTGGGGCAATAACTTTTCAGCTGCTAGAAGCAACCGAGCTCAGTTCTTTTTGTGCCATTTTTTGTGGGATTTTGAAAGTGACATATTAAAGATTCACAATATGTTTAGTGATAGATACGTCAACATTACGATTTAACTTTGGTTTAATTTTATTTAAAAGTGCTTAAACAGCTAACGTTGCACAAAAAGAGGTCGAGGCATACATTTTTTGATATCTTTATATGAACATTATTTTCGAACTAAAATTCGTTTCCGAAGGCAAAACTCAGTGAAGTTCTTCGCTCTTTTTAAGTTTCACTGATATTTTACGAAAACATATGGAAATATTTCGATTTCAAAGAAGTTACAATAAATTTGAGGCTCACATATGAATTTAGGGCATGAATAATATTTTGAACTTATAAAATAAAATTTTTAACTTAACATATCTATTCAATAAATACTTTAACAAATTATTGTATTTGATTTTATTCATATCACTGCATTTTCGGATTCCATAGTATTAATCGTGGCGTACTAAGGAGTAATGAGTAAATTTCAATAGTGAACTAAGCTTTTGTTTAAATTGGACTATTTTTTCAAAGCGTCTATTCTAAAAACCTTCATCTTCACTTTTTTTCAATTAGGTTATTTACGCCACTAATAATTAAACGCATTGTCAACATCAAGTACTCCCTATGTAGTTATATATGTTTCTTGACATTTAACGATACAACATCGTGTGTTACATACACATAGACAATTATTATTCTGCCTTTGTGTTCAACTTTTTTTTAAAGACAATATTTTAACTTCACCCAGTTTCTGACATATAGGATTCCACATTAAAAACTAGGTTTTCTGTTCTACATTTATTGGAGAAGTGTGCGGAAATTTGAACAAAGAAGTGACAATCATACATTTTCTCGATGACTGCTCAGATTTTGCTAATAGAAGAAGTTGAATTTTAGAGAAGTACTTCTTCGACAGTCTGACCAATAACTCATCCTTCAGAACAAAGCATCTGTTAAACTAGACTGTCTAGAGGCGTTTTTTGAGAGGAATGTGGTGTTCAAACGACGAATAATTGCTAAATTATTTAAAGAAACGGTATTTGCCGATCAATCACTCTAATCAACTAACCAATAACTAGTTTAAAAGTCTAACGAATACTTTGAATAAAATATAAAAAGTTATTATGTAATAAATAAAAGACATGTTTTAATATTTCCTGCGTTCGTTAATTGCCAAAGAGATCGTGTAGTTTTTTATATTTCAAACGTCGAGTGAGACTTGAGTCACCTAGAAAATTCCTGGCTTCTTCGTTTATGTGTCTATAATGGGCCTCTGCCTGTTTTTTATTTCTCAAGTAGCTCAAGTGTATTTGAGGTCGCATAGTATATAAAATTGGAAATACCCGGAGGTTGCTTTAAAGTGCTTGCAAACATTACCAATACATTTAATATTGTGAAATACAAAAATGTTCAATTTAATAACATAGTATGTCTCTTTTAACGAGTTTAGTATTTTACTCCAAATACTACCTATGTTTATAATAAAAAGATGTTGATACTTTTTAAAATAAAATAATTTTTGATATCATTGATCGGCAGAATTTCTTTAATGCCTTTCAAATAATTATTGTTTAAACGGTATGTAATCGTGTTTGTGGAGATGTTTATAACGAAGTTAAGAAGGCGTTGGAGATATTGCTCAACATAACAAAGCAAAGCGGCTCAACGGATATTTGTCTGCCTATTAGGATATCGATACGCTAGGCATACGCTAGGCATCCCTCCTTAAACCAAGTTGATAATTATGCAAAATTGGTACAAATATATATGAAATATCACATTATCACAAATTGGTTACAACGTAATAAGTGGTTTCTAAATATATTTTGACAGAAAAATATCTAAACTTATAATATTCATCAGAAGAATGTACTTGAAATCCTTTCTGTTTAATCTCTTCGGATAGTGTTTTGCTAGGAGTTTTCTAAGAGTTCTAGATGTGATTATTGCCTATTTCTTCAATTTTGCTCTTGATCACATTGACTTCTAGGTTCATGTGAATATTAACTTTTTTTAACATAGTGGGGAGCTTCACAGATACTTCTTAACGATTTTGATTGCACAATCATGATTGATTGAGTTAGAAACAGTACCCACAGTCGCACTGAATATGTTCAGCACGTTTTATCATTATTTTATATAGAAATATTTTGCTAATACATTTTGAAATATACTTAGTTTTGATTTAGGATCAAAAATCCAACTACGATTAAAAATGTTCATTTTTGCTTGTATTAGTTCTTTATCTAAACGGTTTTTCCATGTTAATATCCTGTTCGGTGTTACTTCCAGCGAACGGAATCTTTCTGGGAAGTAGTTGCTTCTTTAATAGTCAAAGTCTGATATGGCCATTTTTAAATAAGGAAATAACTCTATGTTAATTCTTACTTTGCTAACCTTTCCCTCACTTTATTTAAGTTCTGCTGGAGCATTTTGAATGAATACTCAGTATTGCTGTATAATCAGTGAATGTGTAAGTAATTACATTTTTTGGAGTTCGTAAATCTCTAGTGTATATCAAGTAAAGTATATGTTCCAATACACTTCCTTAAGAAACACTTGCAAGAATAGGTTAACTATTTGAGGTAGAATTTATTTGATGCATATGAAATACCTTTCTAACAAGGAAGTGCGTTTTTGATATGTTGTACATGTTGGATGGAATTATGGCACTAAACTTATACCAAAGAACTTAGAAGTTAGTTTATATATTTGAATGCAATTTATAGTATTTACAAATTATGTTAAAGTGTGCGTCAACTCCACACCTTAGAGCACTTGTCACTACTTGTAACCAAACCTTATCAAGTGCTTGTGCGATATCTAGGAAAACTGCAATGCAGTTAGATTGTTTTGAAATGTTTTTCTCATTTGTAAAACAATTCAATGTACCCGTTCCATTGTATTATGCTTTTTTTCTAAATCCTATTTGAAGTCACGATATCACTTAGTTTAGGGCAGACAGACTTTCTTTAAGTAATAGTTACACGAAGATTATTGAAGAGACTGATATAAGTGTCTTTATCTGGTTTTGGATCAAAATAATTTCAGAAGGTTTCCACGATATTGGAAAATAGACAAGGCAACACATACCATTAAAAATGATAAAATAATATATTTTATATATTAATAAGTATTTACATTGGATTTTATAT